GGTTTCGTGTAAAATGCGGGAAGGCGGTTCGTTCTGGGAGCTGCCTGAACCACCGGGTGGCCGCTTAGCTTAAACTGTTTGGTTTTTTTTTTTTTTCCCATTGGAAAATAGTCTCTTTCTGGAGGCTTTACTCAAGCGACCTGCAGCAACAAAAGAGCTCGAAAAGGCACCTGCACGAGTGCAGCGTTGCGGCTTTAATAATTGATAAATTGCGCTTTTATTAGTCATTTCAGTGCGGTGTTTTTAACGCTTCAGTAAAGATGAGAAAGTATGATTTTTTTGCACAAAATAAAGGGAAAAGAAAAAGTTCTGTAAGAACTCCTGAGTGCTTTTCATGGGGTGGTTTCAGCTGGATGCTGTCTTTGGTCCGGTTGATGCTGATGCACAAATATGGGGGAAGGAATAGGGCAGCACATGGTTATGGATGGAGGAAGGAGTAGGGGGAAAAATGCCACTTTCCGTTGCCCTGGATGGAATTGGTATTTGGCTCGAGGAAAAGCCCATATGTTGGTACTGGATGCAGGAGCTGAAGACCTCAGAGTGAGAAAGGCTGTTAATGGCAGTCTTATTCCCTTTCTGCTTCAGAATGCAGAACTCTTGAGAGTTTCATGAAAAAGACATAACCCTCTTCAAAGTCCAAGGAAAAGTTAGTAATAATCTAAAAGATCCTGACCTCTGCTTAGTTCTGCATCAGATGGAATAACAATGCCATTAATTTAATGGCGTGTGTAGAATATGCCAGAGACCACGGTGCTGAGGTTTGAAGTTTGGCAAACTTGTACTGTGCAACCGTCTGTAGAAGTCAAATCATGCAGGTGGGAAGGGACCCCAGGAAGTCTCTACTCCAACCTGCCACTCACGGCCAGATCAGCTCTGAGGCCGGTTCAGATTACTCAGAGCTTTATTCCACTGGTCTGGGAAAACCCCCTGGACTGAGTGAGACTAGGCAGCCTGTACCACTGCTCGCCTACCCTCATGGAAGGGGAAAAAAATTCTAATATCCAGTCAGAATATTCTTTTAGTTTATGTCTGTTGTCTTTCCTAAATACTAGACACACGTGTCTCAAAACCAGCAGCTCGTTACTTCAGGTGCAATGTTCTGCTGATGTTGCAGCACTGTTGCTGGTCCCAAGAGCGTGCTTTACAATAGTGCTGCTGGCTCGGAGGTCTCTTCTGATGTGTAGATATGCTGTAATTACCCATATTCCCATGGTAAAGAGCGACCAAGCTATGCAAAAACTTAACGTTTAAAATTACAGGTCTGAAGTTATATACATTGACAGAATTGTCAATATGTTTATCTAGAGAAGGATGAATATAGGCTGCCCATCTCAAAGGGAACAATTGGGAGTCCTGTTTTGGAGGTGTAATTGTTATTGGATAAACTTCTGTGGCTCAATTTCTATGGTTACAGCCTTTCAAACTGAAGAACGGCTATCCAGTTCTCTCCTGGGTTATGCTATAGCTATATCACATTCTTAATTGAAACTACTGTCCAGATGTATGGTTTTGCAATTACCTCTTTGCTGTAGCTCCCTGAAAGATGGTTTGGAAGTCACTGGTCCTTGGCATTTAGGCCAAGACTGGTAGTGTTCAGTGTTAGTGCGAGTGCCATAGACAGGGATTTTTTGTTCTGCTGAGGAACTCGTAACAGTGGGGGATCCTTTTGGCTTGTTTTTATGGCCACCTCGAGGAATGAATAAGAAACGGTTTTCATAGGTCTTCATGTGTTAATTAGGAAAGCTCAGTAGGTTTTAAAGACAATTTAATGCGTAGTGTGAAGTTTTATGTTGAGACCAGAAACTTTTTGAGTTAGTTGAAAGATTTATTTTACATTCTAAGACTGTAGTGCTGGCAGAGTCCACAAAAGTAAATGATATAGTTGTCTTGTTTGAAACCATCTTTGCCTGGCAATTGAGTGATAACTGCTGGTTCTTGATAACGTATTTCAGTGTTTCTGGGATTATTTTATAAGTGTGTCAAAAGGTCAAAAAAGTGTGCCCTCTCTTCTTGAAGGGAAAATTAAGAAATAAAGTTGAAGACTGAATGAAATTAGGAATGTCCGAAGGTAGGATCGGAGAGTAGCAATAATACTTGGCATGAATGAAGTGAAAGCATCAGGAGTTTTGAAAGGGAACTGTGTGGAAAGATGAGTACTAGTCTGATTTCTTGGATGCCCTTGCTAGTTTGTATATGGAACAAAAGTGGATGGGGCTAATTACAGTAAATTACAGCTGTGTGAGTGGAAGGTATTTTGGATCCTGCACAAAGTACACTTCAAATGTATTGACACAGAAAGATGTGTCTTTTCATCTGCTTTAGGAGAGGAGGAGGAGGACACCATCTGCATGACAAACTAGCTAAAGTAAGGTAGGCAAGTTTTATGCTAAAACAGCAAGTCTAATACCTGATTAATATATGCCAAAAGCAAGTCTAATACCCGATTAATATATGCCACTTTAGCTAAGGAGTCCCAGAAGGTATTGATATGAAATTCTTCAGCTGTTTGTCTTAATATGATAATTAAGAACAAGAAGATGAGGTGGTAAAGCTAAGTGTGATAGCCTCCAGACAAAGGTGTTCAAAAGTACACAATAAGATTGAATGTTCATGTGTGATAAACTGAATGCCTTTAAATCTTCAGGGCAAGATTGTTTTAAGTTCTAGAATTGGCCACGGAGGTCTGTGAATTAACGATATCTGTAGGTTTTAACTGAAATTTAAAAAAAAATAAAATGCAAAAATCTGAGCAAAATTTGCAGATAACTTTTGAGATAGAGTAGACTTGCCATTCTCAAGCAAAATACACAGCAGGGTGAAAAGTCCCTCAAAGAATGGCACGGATTGTGGATAATAGTGGAGGAGAAAAAAAGAATGGTAACATAATGAACGTGGTCTTGTGGATAATAGATTTTTGTCCCAAGAAGGGAGGCTTTTGATGATTTCTTAATATTAACATAGTACTAGTATGTGAAACACTTCACTGCTTTATGATGCTTCTAGGTTTTGGCTCTAAATATAATCAGTGCAGTTAATATTAAATTCATAGGTCTTAAAAGGAATAAGGAGAAAATCGTTTTCTTTTTGGACATTTGTAGCACAGTCGTATTGACGTGGGGTTTTTTTAGCCGTGATACTGTTTGATCTCCGTATGTGTTGCTTGATAGAACTTGCAGATGTTATAAATTGAGTGATAAGTAATTATCAGCACAATTGTAGTGTTTGAATTGCTTAGCAAATCTGATAAAGCCAGGAGGAGAGACTCACACTTCTACTATAGGGTGGTATTTTGAATTGCTGGGAAGTTTGGGGTTGTAGTGGTAAACAATTAAAGAAGCAGTGACATAACTAAGAGCGTGACTGCTTTCTCAGGTGCAGAAAGCACCTCAGTAGCAGAATATTTAGTATGACTCGTAGTAGCTGAAAACAATGCAAGATTTGAAAATGTCTTAAAGTAGCAAACTAAATATCGGTATTTGTCTTTCTCTTCAAACTTTCCGTGGATAGAAATTAATAAGAACCAAAGGATAAATACCTGTGCAGTGGTATCTAGAATCTGTCTTCCTTCTATTTCCAAATTCAGACAAGAACAAATTCATAAAGACGCATATTTAGCAAGACCATTGAGGAAACTTGCGTAGGCGTGTGCTTGATACTACACTGCTCCAAACCCCTGGATACTTTACTATAAAACTGGATTTGTATGTGTTCAGATGTGAAGCAAAAACTTCTGGGCAACAATCTTTTGCAGCAGATTAGATTGAGAGGCTGGGGTAGTTACCTGCTATTGACATTCATAGTTATGCAGATTAAAGATTTTCAGGTTTCCCGGCAATTAGAAAGATATTTGCATTTAAGCTTAAACTTTTGCGCTTGTTGGATAGTTTTGAAATAGATGATGTTTCTGAAACAATCTTGTACTTTCTTGTGACACTTAGAGCTGGAGCTGATACAAACTCTGCACTCATCTAAATGTAGACAGTGGAAGAAGAGCCAAATAAAAATGGGTAATTCTGGCAGTGGATAATAATACATCCTAAATCTATCAATTTTGTTCTCCCTAATGAAAGGGATGTTACTTTTTGCTACACTGTAGAGACTGATTCAATTTGATCACTTGTTCAGATTGTTAAGGAATAAGAAAAATAAAAGCAGTATTAGTTCTTAAATATGCATGTATACTTCAGTCAAATTCTCGCTGGATTTGTGGACTGGCAAGATAAGGGAACAGGCTACAA